CACCATTTTTGTTTGTTAATAATTTTTGCGTGTGTGTGTGTGTTTCCTCGGTGCGTAATTGTGAAGTTCAAGCTGCAGCGCGCACACACACACACACACACAAGAGCCCAAGAACTGATGTGAAAAAATGGTCGCATTTAACTGGCAAAGTTTTCATTTTTTCCTACTCGCAGTTTTCTTCACGTTTCTCAGCTCCGCCGTGATTTCATCCAGCCATGGCGGGATAAAGCTCAAGCTCGTCCACACGCACGCCGTGCAGAGACCAAATCCCGCCACCCAACTCGAGCGCCTGAGGCAATTGGTCCACGGCGACACTATCCGCCTCCGCGGCGTGTGGGAGAAGCTACAATCGAAATACAGCAGCAACAGGAGAGGAAATCTGGAGAGAGATGCGTATTTTCCGGCGTGCACTAACAGCAGCGGTGGGAAAGCCGACCGCAATGCGTCGGCCGAGCTGGAGATGCACTCGGCGGCGGACGAGGGGGCGGGTCAGTACCTGGTCGAGTTCAGGGTCGGGTCGCCCGCCCATAGGGCGCTGCTGATTGCGGACACCGGGAGTGACCTGACCTGGACGAACTGCAGGTTCAGGTGCCGCAGGGGAGGGTGCAAGAGGGATTCCTTAAAACGCCGGGTTTTTCGGGCCGACCAGTCTTCGACTTTTCGGACCGTGCCCTGCTCGTCGAGCACGTGCAGGGACGATCTCTCGAGTCTCTTCTCGCTCACCCGGTGCATTTTGCCCAGGGACCCATGTGCCTATGATTACAGGTAAAACTGAAAAACTATGTTTACAAACTAACAGAAAAAAAAGAAAATGTGAATTGCAGTTTGGATTCGTTTCTATTATCCAGTTTATGCGTTGAGTCAGGTTTGGTTGCACATGTGTTTTTTGATTGGTTGTTAAGTAAAGTTGGCTTGCTGAGCTTTGGTTAGGGACTAAGTAATGTGCAAGTTTACAAATTCAAAAGTCCCTCATGGATTGGATGTCATGTGGGTGCAGTAACAGAGGAGTTTTAGTTCATCACTGAAAAACTAATATAGTTACGATCCGTAATAATGCTCGAATCCGGAAGACTTTATTGGTAGACGACGGATATTTATAATGCTATGACACGGACTATGAGCGATGACTGGAATTTGAAATACTCGAGCTACAAAGGTTGTGGCTTGGTACTGAATCATAGCCGTATTGCTATCTAACTCGAACGTAGTGAATGGTGCTTTAATTTATTGACTGTATTTAGCACACCCATTTTCAGATTCTGTCTAGCATTCATTCAAGCTGTGTGTTTGTTCTTTGAATGGAACCAAACAACATAATTTTGATCCATCCCTTTCTTACACCTGTTTTTTTATTTCTTGCATAAAGAACAGAACAGCTGGGGTAGGGGTAGGGGACAGGTAATTGCACACTCCGGTTTTTAATACCCCCTTGAAGCTGTGTCTTGTCATAGATCTTGAGCTACAAATTTGTGGCATATG